ACTCATACACACAATCCACACCCCTCCTCTCTGTATGTGGTTCCGTGCTCACACACACACATACTCACACTAACACTCTCACACACACTCCACACTCCCTCCTCTCTGTATGTGCATCCCTGCTCACACACACTCACACTCACACAATCCATGCCCCTCCTTTCTGTATGTGCATCTGTGCTCACATTCACACACTCATATGCTCATGCACACACACAATCCATGCCACCTCCTCTATGTGTATCTGTATTCGCGCTCTCACTAAGACACACACACAATCCACACCCCTTCTCTTTGTATATGCATCTGTGCTCACATGGTCACACTAACACTTTCACACACACACAATCCACACCCCCTCTCTGTGCATCTGTGCTCACACACATGCTCACACTAACGCTAATGCACAATGCACACCCTCTCCTGTGTGTCCGTGCTCACACGCTCACACACACATAATCCACACTCCCTCCTCTCTGTGCGTCTGTGCTCATACTCACACACACTCACACACACAATCCATGCCCCTCCTCTCTGTACGTGCATCCATGCTCGCACACAGGGAAGCCAGAAGCCCCTCCACCCCCACCCTGTTGGCTCTCATGTGGGTTGTGTGGATCTGGAAATCTAAATTCCTGATTTCGATCATTGCATGAAGCTTACGTAAGAAAACGCCCTTGTTTGCGGGGAATCCACACTGAAGTATTTAAGGATAAAGAGGTCACTTCCTCTGAGTGCAAGGAGTTGCCAGGCCAGGTGGGGAGGGTGGGACTTACGGCAGCTCCAGGAGCCCCTGGGCCCTTCTCAACTCCCATCTGGCTCCAAGGGAATGGGAGATGCCCGTCCCTGGGGCAGATCTTACCCCTCCTCAAACCCCACTCCCCACTCCCCACTCAGATGCCCCATTCACTCATTGGCTCAGAAAAAACGTTAGGTAGGTAGCAGCTAAAGAGATGACAGATTATTGATAGATGATAGGTAATAGACGGTAGGTGATAGACGATAGAGGATAATAGGTGATAGACAATAGGTGATCGATGATAGATAATAGGCCATAGACAATAGGTGGCAGATAATTGATAGGCTGGTAGGTAGAGAGACGAGGTGGTGGAGTGTGATAGAGCGGATGGGGTGGAATGCCAGATGCTGGAGTTTGGATGTTAACATTTGACCCCCAGCGTTCAAAGTGGAGCCTGGATGGGAGGTGTTTGGGTCATGGGGCAGATATGAATGGGTTGGTGCCACTCTCAAGGTAATGAGTGAGTTCTTGCTTGATTACTTACTGTGAGGAATTTTTTTTTTTCTTTTGAGTCTTGCTCTGTTGCCCAGGTTGGAGTGAGCAGTGCAATCTTGGCTCACTGCAAGCTCCACCTCCCAGGTTCACACTATTCTCCTGCCTCAGCCTCCTGAGTAGCTGGGACTACAGGCGCCCAGCACAACGCACAGATAATTTTTTGTATTTTTAGTAGAGACGGTGTGTAGTGTGTCTGGAGTTGGTTCTTTCTGGTGGGTTTGTGGTCTTGCTGACTTCAAGAATGAAGCTGTAGACCTTTGCAGTGAGTGTTACAGCTCTTAAAGGTGGCACGGACCCAAAGCATATATAGCAGCAAGATCTATTGTGAAGTGTCAAAGAACAAAGCTTCCACATTGTGGCAGGGGACCCGAACAGGTTGCCCCTGCTGGCTGGGGGATATGGGGGGTGGTGGCCAGCTTTTATTCCCTTCTTTGTCCCTGCCCATGTCCTGCTGATTGGTCCATTTTACAGAGTGCTGATTGGTCCATTTTACAAACTTCTAGCTAGCTACAGAGTGCTGATTGGTGTGTTTTTACAGTGCACTGATTGGTGCATTTTACACACCTCTAGCTAGCTACAGAGTGCTGATTGGTGCATTTTATAATCCTCTTGTAAGACAGAAAAGTTCTCCAAGTACCCACTTGACCCAGGAAATCCAGCTGGCTTCATCTCTCAACCGCGTTTCACCATGCTAGTCAGGATGATCTTGATCACCTGACCTTGTGATCCACCCACCTTGGCCAACCAAAGTGCTGGGATTACAGGTGTGAACCACAGCACCTGACCCGATAATTGATTTTTTTTTTGACAGAGTTTTGCTCTGTCGCCTAGGCTGGAGTACAGTGGTGTCATCTTGGCTCACTGCAAGCTCTGCCTCCCAGGTTCATGCCATTCTCCTGCCTCAGCCTCCTAAGTAGCTGGGACTATAGGCGCCCGCCACCACACCAGATAATTTTTTTTTTTTTTTTTTTTAGTAGAAAGGGGGTTTCACTGTGTTAGCCAGGATGGTCTCGATCTACTGACCTTGTGATCTGTGGGTAAAGGATTACCCAGGTGCCGAGGCAAGAGACTGAAGACACAAACTGTTTCAGTATAATAAAGGAAGTAGTTAGAATAAGAATAGTTATAATACAAATTAGATATAGAGATGATCGTGGACATTATCAATCATTAGTATAAACATTAGCTTTTAATATTACTCTTTGTTGTATTACTAATATAACCTAGGAATAACCGGCGGGCACCGGGTCAGGTGCTGAAGGGACACTGTGAGAAGTGACGAAGAAGACAAGAGGTGAGCCTTCTGTCACGCCCGCATAAGGGCCGCTTGAGGACTCCTTGGTCAGGTGGTAATGCCAGTGTCTGGGAAGACACCTGTTACTTAGCAGACCGCGAAAGGGAGTCTCCTTTCCTTGGAGGAGTCGGGGAACACTCTGCTCCAGCAGCTTCTTGTGGAAGGCTGGATATTATCCAGGCCTGCCCGCAGTCATCTGGCAGCCTAAACCCCTCCCTGTGGTGCTGTGCTTCAACGGTCACGCTCCTTGTCCACTTTCATGCTCCTCCCGTACTCCTGGTTCCTCTTTGAAGTTCGTAGAAGACAGAGGTAGAAGAAATAGTAAAAGTTTTAAAGTCTTTGATCTTTCCTATTAAGTGCATAGAAGAAAACGCTGACATATGCTGCCCTCCCTCTCTACTTCGGCTACCTAAGAGGGAAGGGCCCCCGTGTCCTGTGATCACGTGACTTGTTTCCCCTTGTCAATCACTTAGAAGATCCACCCTCCTTACCCTGCCCCTTTGTCTTGTATGCAATAAATATCAGCGCGCCCAGCCGTTCAGGGCCACTACCAGTCTCCACGTCTTGGTGGTAGTGGTCCCCCAGGCCCAGCTCTTTCTCTTTATCTCTTTGTCTTGTGTCTTTATTTCTTACAATCTCTCATCTCCACACGCGGGGAGAACACCTGCTAAGCCCCGTAGGGCTGGATCCTACAGTGATCCGCCCACCTCGACCTCCCACAGTGCTGGGATTACAGGCATGAGCCATTGCTTGCGTCTAGCTGAGAACTGATTGTTATAAAGAGTCTGGCATGGCCAGGTGCAATGGCTCAAGCCTGTAATCCCAGCACTTTGGGAGGCTGAGGCAGGTGGATCACGAAGTCAGGAGTTCAAGACCATCCTGGCTAACACAGTGAAACCCCATCTCTACTAAAAATACAAAAAAATTAGCCAGGCGTGGTGGCGGGCGCCTGTAATTCCAGCTACTCGGGAGGCTGAGGCAGGAGAATGGCGTGAACCCAGGAGGCGGAGCTTGCAGTGAACGGAGATTGCGCCACTGCACTCCAGCCTGGGCGACAGAGCAAGATTCTGTCTCAAAAAATAAAATGAAATAAAATAAAAATAAAAATAATAAAATATAGGGAAAAAGCTGTATTTTAATTCAAACATCAGCCATGCAGAGACTCCCTGCCCTCATATATCCCAGCTGAGGTCCCAGGTCCCCCACCCTCCTCCCTTGCAGGCCATTAGGGCCAACTCAGTTCTGCGTGTGCCTATTCAATGCCCTTAGAAGCCCAGCAGTGAAGGGTGTGGTGTGCACGGCCCTGTCTTCCCTGACCCCACCTGGCTGGCCTCCAGTTCACCACGGCTTCCCTGGCAGGCCCAGTTCACAGGCTTCCTGGGCACTGCCCACTGTTCCAAAGCAGGCCAGTCCCACGGAGCTGGGAAGCTGCCTAGACCCCCACCTTGCCAGCAGGCCTGGGAGCCAATGGTGGGGGTCTTCCATCCACTCTTGGTCTGAGCATCCAGCCCTGTGTTCAGAACCAGGACTCCAGTGACCATCCAGTCCCCTAGCCCAGTGCCCAGGAACAGGTTAGATCCACTGGCGCTGGCTCTGGCAGCTCCCTTGATGCCATAGAGGCTGCTCTGGCCTGTTCTCCAAGTCACTGGGCTCCATGCTGAGATCAAGGCGGGGCTTCCCAAGGGGATCCCACCTGTGTGTGAGGCCCCCACCCTCCACCACGCAGTGCAGGAAATGCCGGCCCCTCCTGCCTGAAGCTGCTTCCAGTGGCTGGCCGGACCGTCTAGGCTCTGTTGCTGTCTCTCAGCCGCAAGCCCTTAGTCCCAAGGCCCGAACTCCCCTCCCACCAGGTGGGGCGTCTGGGCCCCACGTGAAAGGGATCCGAGGAGGACAGGTGTTTGGGTGGGCGGCGCTGCAGAGCTGCAGCTGGTTGGGGTGGAGCAGGCGGTGGGTGAGATCTACCAGAGTCCATTCCCTGTGGTGTTCAGTGCCGGAAGTGGGCTGGAGCTGAGGTGGGGATGCTGGGGGGGGACTCACAGCAGCTCTAGGCTCCCCTGGCCCTTCAGCCTTACCATCTTTCATCTGGCTCCAGGGACACGGGAGAACCCAGACCCCAGGAGCCAGAGCTCACCCCTCCTCAGGCGCCACTCCCCACTCAGACGCCCCCATTCACTTCTTTCTTCACTTGGTCATTTATGCCTGTGGGCCGCACATCTAGGAGGCAGAAGCTGCTCATGGGTGCCGCCCAGAACCAGGGGTCAGCGGGGAGGCAGACACTCCTGTCAGAGGGGGGATTCCCGGGACCCAGGCCCAGCACCAGGTAGATGGTGGGGGTGGAACCAGCAGGACAAGGGGCTGGGCAGCGGTTAGGGACGGACCCGAGGCTCCCCTGGGTGGGCCGGAGCCCCGCCATTAAGGCATATCCCGGTGGGACTTGGACAAGGCCGGGACCACCCAGCGCGAGGATGCTCGTGCTCCGCCTGGGCGCGCCACGGCTTCCCGGGAGCTGCCCCCACGGAATCTCTCCTGGGTCCTTCGGGGTTCCCTGGGGGGAGCACAATGCCGGCCTCACTCACAGCTGGCGGGGTGGGGGGCGGGAGAAAGGCCAGCCGGGCAGAGGACGCGCAGGAGAGATGGAAGACTCCGGTGAACGTGAAATCTTTACTTAGAGAAAAGCGACAGAGTCAGAGACCCACGGGGGCAGGGCTGCAGCGAGGGCGCCTGGGGGCGAGACACGAACACGGCGGAGAGCATCGGGCGACGCGCTGGTCACAGGAGCTGGCGGGGGACGCTGCGGAGACAGAGCCCGAGGGTTGA